AGTTAAATGAGCCCAGCTGGTCGAAGCAGATTAAGGAAGGCGTTTTGTTTGTGTGGTAAAGCTGTGATACGACACGTTTCACGTTTCTCTGTAACCACAGAACTCATGATACCAGTAAGATTCTGTCCATAAAATGTCGAACTTCTCTATCCAAGCACAGACAAGTACACCAAAAGCAAAATGTCTGCTTTAGTGAACAAAAGGTCGTTGAGAAACAACCTACAGACGATTAGATGTCTTACAACAGTCAGTATCGACTTCATTTGCTGGTAGATGGCACACCGGAACCACAGAGGGCTCCTGGTCAGGAGGCTCCACACAACGTCAATGCTGAGCTTGACCGTCTCCGATAAGCCTGTGAAGCCTCACAGGCAGTAAACGAAAACCTAAATCATTATATCAGTAGATTGAAGATTTGAATCAGACACTGTCATTTTGACAAAATCCAATTCCAACAGATCCTCAGCGACAAAGCCTGTTTAGGGACAGTACACATGCGGCAGGTCCAAGATCTAGGATGAGCAAATTGGAAGAGAATACATTTCTTGCCCATGGAAATAACACTCAGCTTCAGGGCCATCTAGGCATGTGGGACCTGATGAAAACACCGAACGAGGAGAGCGTAAAACAGGCTCAGACGCTGCGAAGCTAAAAGTCTGGCGAAAGCAGAGATTGATGGCGAGTGGTGAAGAACTGGAGAAAGAAAATACATAACTCCAGAAAATGAAGACGGATTTAGAGGCAGGAAGAAAACAGATGCTGCAAGAAGGCAGGAGAGTGACAGAAAACACTGAAAGATGTAGAAAAGAGAGAAATAGAGACACAGCATGTAAATTCAGAGGAAGGGAGGAATGACACTGAGGACAAAAGGAAACAAATGGACGAGGAAACGAGACGACAGGAGCAGATGGAGCAACAACTCAAAAACTCAAAAATAAAGGAGGAGGAAAAGAAAGTGGAGGAGCAGACAAGGAAGGTTTACTGAGAGTGAGAAATCAGCAAGAAAATAAAAAAGAGGATGTCGTTCATCCCTCCTTCTCCAGCCTCCATCAGTACCCTTCTTCCATTTATCTCCATGAACCAGACACATCCCTCTGCTTTTACCTTCAGCCCTCCACCGTCAGTCCAATATTTCTCTGAATATCCCATAGACGACCCAAACCCATCCCTTTATCTTCCTTCACTTTCACCCCCCAAACTTCCCTTTAGTATCCTGGTTTTTCCATAAACAATCAAAACCCAACCCCACTTTCCATCCTACTGCCTATATTCCTTCAACTTTTCTCTTCTTCTTGAATATTCCTATTTTGCATTTATTTTACAGCCCATCTTTCTTCCCCTCTCAACTTTTCCTTCACATTTCTAACTTGCCGTCCTTCTTCTGGATCCTGATCCAGCTTCCTTCAACCCTTTCCTCCTCCAGCCTCATATAAACCCAAACTTCCTACATCACGGGAAAGGCTGTGCAATACACAGGGCTGTTAACACTCGTGCTGCTCATCCCACCAGAAAGTGTGCAATGGTCCTTTGAAATGGGCCCCATGACTTTGGGAAAAAGCTGCACAGTGTTTCCAGAGAAGACTTCCTCCCTCAGCCTCTCAGCTTTGGTCCAGTTCCGATGGTGCATTAGACCCAGAATATCCTGGATATGGTCACAAGAGGCAAAGCTGGAGCTCAAGGTGCAACCAAGAGAAGCAGTGAGAGACCTGTTTACGGCTCGGGGGAGCTCCAGGAGATATTTAGGTTGCAGTCGTTTCGATATTTGCCAAACAGCTCAGCAGTGATTGTTGGGTTTCTTTGTTTTTTTATTATTTTTTTATTTTCCAGTGTTAAGATTTTCCATCTTTTGGAGCTTGTCTGTTGTTTGTTCGACTTAGCTCACAATTGTCTGTTCCTCCCGCTTTGACCTTTTATTTGTTGTGTTTCTCTGAGTGTCTCTTTCTGCGTTTTATCATTGTGTTTCAGAGTTTGCTTTTCTGAACAAGTCTGAACTCAGATTCAAGCCGTTTGTCTGCTTTTATCTTTTAATTTTAAAATCAGACTTTGTGTTTTGTATGTCCTGTTCCATCTTTTAAGCCATTTCACTCATTTAGTCCCAACTGGTTGTTTCCAATATTTTCTGCTCTGTCATTTATATTTTGTATTCTGTTTTAAATCATGATCGACCATCGATTACAGCCATGTTTAATAGAAAGAAAAAGGGGTTGTTGTTGAGCTTATCATATTCCTGTGCATGTTAGGTCTGTAGAGTAGTTTCTGTTTTTCCCCTACCCTCCTCTAGGTGGCCAGATCTGTAATGGTTCCAGCTGGTGCCAATCTAACTCATCAGGAGCAGCCATAAGAAGGAGCAGTTCCATGCGGCAGCTGCCAGATGATTTCCTCACTTAGTGTGGTACAGGCCAATCTCTCTTTGTTTTTGGATAAGAGACCTAGTAAACCCTTTTCCTGTCTAACCAGTACCCTGGATTTCTTCCAGCCTTCCTGCCTCCGTTTGCTCCTCGCTGCTTCCCTCAACACATGCCCTCCCAAGGATTCACCAAGGCGGCGGCTCCAGACACAGACATCACCTCCACCATCCTCACCAACAAAGAATAAATTCTTTGACTGAGCTTCTGTCTTAAGTTGTGGTCCGCTTAAGAGTTTCCAGCTACGACATGACAGTGCAGTATTATTTTATTGCATGATACATCTCTAAATACTTATTCCCTCATCCTAATGTGGCTTTCCCCCGCTGAGTAGATTCAAAAGCATTCAGGTTCTCCTACAATAAAAATTTCAAGGTATTCCATCTTCACAAAGAAAAAAACTTGGGACTCGGGAAAGAAGGACTAAAATATAATTAAGCTGAGTTCCTATGACTCACCACAGTGTGCCTGTAAAGTGTTGCCCCTGCTGGAGGCAGGATGGAAATATGACTCACAAACCGACGTCAAAGACTATAATTTAGGAAGTCGAGGTGATGCACACTGAAGCACACGTCTATGTGATGGGAAACTGATAAAAACACACAAATTCTTCTTTTACTCTTCTGAGTTAAGTTCATCTCATTTGACTGCAGCAATAAAGCATGCTCGTCACCTCCCTGTTGGGTTTACACTGTTTTCAGGGCTGAAATACAGTTTTTTAAAAACTTCACCAGCAGTTGCTTTTACAAGAAGTGGTTGCATGCCCACTGAGGGTTATTATAGGTTGTGACTTTGGGGATATTTTGGGGGTGGGATCTCCTGCACTATAGATATAAACACCAAAGTGATGTAATAGCCAGCCAGTGAGGAAGAGATGACTGAACCAGGCTGTAATTCTGCAATAATAAACTCTTGGCTTAGATCTTTAATCTTTTCCTTCTAAGTTGGGGTCTGGTAGAATGCTTTGTTCATGGATGGCATGGTTCCAGCTCCAAAAGGAGTTTTATTAGCCACAATTACAGTTTCTGCTACGCATACAAAGAAAAAAAATTGCCAACCCTCATTTGCATGAACTGTGAAAAGGTTCCAGCAGTTCTTTCTAAAAAACCAGCAGTCAGGCCTGTGGGGGTGTTGTTATTTGTTTCTAAAACCAGCAGGTTTTTGCCCGAGACCTGTCCTAAAAGGCAGTTGAGCTTCTCGCTATTGTCTCGTAATTGTAATCCACAGTTAGGAACTCTTCATGAAGTCATGCACGTACACAGTAAACAGGAAAGTACAACATCCAGCTCCTGAGTGCTGTTTTTTTCCCAACCCAGACAGCTCATTTATCCAATCAGGTCCCTGATCAGGAACTAAAAATCACCCATCCATCCAGTCATCTTCAGTGTCTGCTCATTCCCATTAGGGCTGCCCAGCATCAGACAGCAGCACTCAGTTTGAGGAGCCGTTATTTCCAAAGTGTTTTAGACGCATGATGTGTAAATATAATATAACGGGAGCACAATACAGCAGGTTTGATTACATAAAGGTGTTTTGACCGGCACAGAAAAAGGTTTGATTACACTAATTATTCATTTACTGGCCCCCTGCACCAATAAAACTGCCATAGCATCTATATTCAGGCAATTTGATCTTATTATCAAACTGGTCAAAGATCTTTTAACATAATTTTGCTGTATAAGTGCTGGAAGACCATTTGCCAAAAGTGTGTAGGAGTCCACTGGAGCCGCTTCCAGAAGAGATCCCCGCATCTGGTGCAGAGCTCCACCTCCGATATTCACCGTGAGCTGAAAATACCTGAAGTCTGCCTCAATCTTTCTCTTTTTTCCAGTCTAACTTCTTTCTGATGATTTGAAAGACACTCCTTGAAGTGATTGTTTTTACATTAGCTTCTCTGGCAGGGACCAGTGGTGACATCACTCCCTGCTGAAGCAGATGGTGCAGCGTGGCTGAGCTGAAGACAGCGAGCTGTCAGTCCACACTGTGCCCATGACAGACACCTGGCTGTGGGGCCTTATGGCATCTCTTCACCAATTAAGCTCACTTTCAAACTTCTGGGGGGAAAAAGAATTCGAAAAGGGACGGTGAACATGACGGGTCATTTTCCACGCTGCTGCTGCAGCTCTCCACGCCTCCAGCCTGTTTCTCTGCTCATATATCACATTAGAGGAACACAGCCATTCTCCCCGTCAGCGGGAGGCAACGCATCAAGCTGACGTCTTTATTAGGAAGACAAAATGGTATTTAATTTCAGCATGACTTGTGTTTCTGGCAGCTTGATCAAAGTCCAACATTCAGTCTCGTTTAGCTCTGCTTTAGTCTTCGCTGACTCCCGTGGGACTAATTTGGCTGTTTTTCGGCCCACTGTGCTCTTTGATCAGTCTTAAACAGTGTCTGCTATCCACTGATGCTGAGCATGCAGCCAACAGTTGTTTTTAGATCTTACTTAATTGGAAAAAAGGATGAATGTGACCAGAGAAGACGATCTTAAAATACTGAGCTTGAAAGAGCTGACAGGAAAGAATCTAAAAATCTTGTTCAAATGTAACAAAAAAATAAATAACAGAAGGCATTTCTTTGCTGCAGTCTTACACCAAGATTTTATTGAGAATTAAATGTGGAAAGTCAGGCATTTTTGCTATTTTGTGAAAAATGAGCTCAAAATTCGTTGGCACATCTGAAAAACAGCCATGGCGCCATGATTCCCACCAACCAGCCCCCCCCCTTGGCCTGAAATCAGCCAGCAAACGTGAGAAACGGACTGGGTGTTGGAACTGTGCTGTTCTAATTATGGGAAAGATGTTGTGTAACTGGGAGAACATGTTCTTCCAAGACCTGTTCGTGCCTTTTAAGAGTTGATGGTTCCTTTCCAGATGTTTCCTTTTTCAGTTCCAAAGGCAGAAACACGCCCCACAACATCAGCTTCAAAAAAGCTGGATGGATCCTCTGCTCTTTGGTCTGGAAGACAAGGTTTCCATGGTTTCCAAAATTAATTCAACATTTTTAATTGTCTGACCTCTCTTAAGTTTCCACTTCACATTCTGCCAGTTTTAGATGAGCTGCAGCCTGGAAAAACGGCGATGTTTCGGGATCCTGTTCACAAATGGCTTTCTTTCATGACTGAGTATGACCGACATCTGTAAAACTCACAAAAAATTATGTGTGGAAGTGATTCTGAGCCCAGACCGTGAACATGAACATGGTCAGTCCTGTTCATTTTGCACAAACTACTTCACTTTAAACGCTCGATATTTTCTGCGATCATTGCTTTCTTTTTGTATTATATGGAAATCGGACTGTATGACCCAAAGATCCCGTTTGTAGTTGGTACACTGACTCACAAACAAACAGGCATCATATCTGTGAGGATAAAATGTCTTCCTCTTTCATTTTTTTTGTAACCAAGTCAGTATTGTTATTCATATGGATCCAACAGGTGTATTTTTTCTTATCTAATTCGAGGTTAAATGGGGCATTTTGATGGAAGGAAACTGTGTTTATAATAATGATCCAATGGTGCAGAACAGGTTTTGTCCCTTTAGGGTTAGGATTTTGTGCAAATGTTGATCAGTTTAGTGCTTCGATTTTGTGGCAACAATGACTAAACACAACAACTGGAATAATTGAAGGCCTCTTTAGGCATTTGTGGGTATTTTGGAAATGAAAATGAACAGCACATGTATAATTTGACTCTTCCTGGTCAGATTTCATCCCTCTGCACTGATGTCAGTGCTTTCATCTTAATGCATTATTTCACAGTCAGACTTAATCCAGCAGATGGCGCTGTGATTCCGAGCAGACGTCAGGTGTGTGAACCAGAGCCATGCGCACTTCTTAACACTCAAATTCTCTGCTGGTGGTTTCACAGTTAAAACCAATGTTGGCTTTCTTTGTGCCTCTGTTTGGTGTTTGGAGATTAAAGACCTGCTGTACCAAACTTCTTAACCTCAAAATGAAAAGCACAAATGGCTGTATATATGCCCCCCTCCTACGATAACCTCTGCCCACTGCCTCTTTTAGGTTATGAAAATGTACACAACGCCACGGAGAGTCTGTCGGAGTCTTTTATCCATCGTAATCTTAAACCTGTGCCAACCAGTACAAACAGCTTCTGTGACATAACCAGATATCTCAGACATGTATGAAAAACACAATGCATGGGCCGAAGCAAACCGAGGGACAGGGATAGTGCATCCTGTATTTACACACTTATATTTGTGCAGCCGAGCACTTTGCCGGATTATCCCAACTTTGCAAGCTGTCAAATCCTCTTAAAATATCCTGCCGTACCTGTTGCTCTCTGAGAGGTGTTCGACGCCCTGAGGGCTTTCCTGGCTGTTAGGTTATTTCACTACTGCTTTTTTTTTTCCCCCCCGGGAGCTTGGATGTGTTTTCTGTGACCCCGGAGCCTCGCTTGATGCCCGGCACGTCAAAGCTGGGCTGCTCACCTCAGCCAGTCACGCCCCGGCTGAGTGTTTGGGTGCAAAACGTCCCCCCTCTTTAAACTCCCAGCCGGAAACAGTCATTTAGAGGATGAATGGAGGGCCGTTTCAGACCATCATCTGGGGAGGTACTCCTGTGGAAGTCCGCTAAAGTTCCTGCTGTGCAGTGCCTGGTCGACACTGTGAATGAAAGAGTCGATCATCTGCCTCATGTCTGGGGTAAAGGGGTCAAAGGAGGGCTGCTGGGCCCGGGAGCGCTTGAAATGGCCGTCCTGGTTGCTCTGCGCGCAGAGAAGCCGCTCCTCGGTGGCGGTGATGTTCAGGAAGGCCGTGACGGCGCGCAGCTCCGGCAGGAGAGCCCTCTGCAGTTCCTCGTAATGCACCACCATCAGACGGCGGCCAAATTTCAGCCAGCTCAGGGCATGGGATGCCCACCAGGGGGCGTAGCTGGAGACAAACTCTGGCCACTCTGCAGGGAGAAGGGGGGAATCATGAAAGATGAACCACACGCAAAAGAACCGGCACTCCACAGTTTAAGGAACCATTTAAAATCCCTGATCGTCCTCCTGCATTACAGTTTATGCAGTTGATCTTTAGCCCTCACTCTGTGTGCTCTGGATTTTCTGCAGAAGCGTGTGATTAGCGGAGTAGTTTTTCATAATATCATTATTCTTTGGTTGACATTTGAAATTCCTTTCAAATGAAAATTTCACTGCTTTCGGCCGTTGAAATATTGATCCCTGCATGAATGTTCATCGTCCTTGGGTGAAGGTAGATGGAAAAACCTGTGCAAACAAATCCCAAAAGCTTTTACCAGATTTACAGCTATGATTCATGCAAAAAGATCAGCCAGATACGCTATCGCTGGTTAAAATGATAACATCATTAAATATTGATTTCACTGCACGTCAGATGGGTCTTTTTCTTACTTGTTCCAGACATATTTACAGATTTTTCTACATATCAAGTCGCAAAATTACATTGACCTTTTGGTGCCAAATCTGCCTCAGATAATTACTTAGTCTAGAAAGTTGGATGTCTTGTTGTAAATGAACCAAAACAAGGTTAATTAAAGTATGTTTTGTTTTCTTTGGGGGTTAATTGGTCACCCTTGGATTGGTAATCACAATTTGATGTCGCATTTGCTTCTTTTTTTTTTTTTCTCGTATATCTGTGAAAAAGCTTTTCTTTTTTACTACACGCTAGGCATTGCCCTCCCTGTTTGGGCTCATTCTGAAGGCCAGTCTCCCCCTTTTCCACAGAGAACCTCTCAGAGAGAACATGGTGTGTGTGGCCACAGCGTAAAAGATACCAGCGATGTGGGCCTCATTACCAGAATGCCTCTGCTCTATGATAGCCCTTCACAGCGCTGACCGCCTCTATCCAATGACAAACCCATAAACCACTCCACTCTGTGGGGGTGAGTTACCTTTACTGCTCCACTGGGCCTCTGTGGCGTGCCCCAAGTGTCCAGCACATTTCCGATTGAATTCAGCCATCAGGGAGCGGTAGGGGTTTCGAATCAGCAGGATGGCAGAATCAAACATTTCGATGTCTTTCTGACCGCTCTCGTGGGTCTTTACGCAGACGCTGCGGCCGCTCTTCCAGTAGTCCTTCTCTCCCTTGAAACCTGGAGCCAACGACCAAATGAAAACGGAAGGGTGAGCAGTGTTGGGGGATGTGCCAGGCGCTCGGTCAAAGGAAAGGCCCCCTCCCCCCCCCGTACCCCTGTTGTACAGAGTGCCATCGAAGTAGAAGCTGCCAGTGTAGTAGCCGGTCACGAGCTCGATCAGGTGCCGGACCCAGGTGTTGCCCGCTCCAGGAAAACTCGAGAGAGCCACCAGGGAGACGGACCTCTGGGGCAGAAACATCCTCTCTTTGCACCTGGAGTCTGGGATGAAATGCTGTCAGCTGTGTCTACAACAAATGAGTTATTTTCAGGACGAGTAGCCCAAAAAGGGCCGGCGTCACACAAACTGCAAAGGCAGCGGAATGGATCAGAGTTGAGAAGTGTGCACATTTGGGAAGAAGACTGCTTTCAAGTGTAATTTCCTCCCCTGTCATTCTGGCGTTCCCACAAGAAAGCAGCACAACACTCAGAGGTGGTTTGGGCATGGGGAGGCTCTGGTGGGACATTGTATGAGATGAAAGCCCGACTGGAGCTCTCAGAGCGGGAAAAGTGAGAGACGGCGGAGAGGATGAGTCGAGATACATGACAAAAGTCTCACCAAGCACGGGGGTTTGGTACACCTGGTAGAAGTCGGCCTCTGTGGGGGCGGGGGGCGTGGGGGTGGCGGTGCGGTTTTGGGCGGCGCTCTCCTCGCACTGTTTGTTTTCAGACTGCTGGCTGACGCTGAAAACGGAGGACGTCCACATACACAGACAGTGCGGCCTCTTGAACGCAGCCAGAGGGAGCTCCTGCCAACAGAAATCACAAGTTGTGGGTTTATTTCTTCGACTCTTCTTCGAGGGGTCGCATCACGACCCCGTTCCCCACTTCCTTTTTGTTGACTATCATCTCCTCACTTTTCCAGTTACGGAGGGTCAAACCGGAGGAGAGCGCAGGCTTTTTCATGCATCCACACACACACGACATGATGGGAATTAATCACAGTGCAGTCAACACCAGATGATCTGCAATCTCTCCGCCCGCCATTTTTCTGTTTTTGGAAGCGCCGCAAACACGAAGATCTTAGTGCTGGATTCAGATAATCTTTTCCTCATTAGAGCCACATAAAAAGCTTTAATATTCAGCTAAATCCAGCAAGCCCTGCACTCCCACGTATGATCTCATAGGAGTGGCGACCGCTCTGTGAACTGGTCTGTGCTGACGGAGGGGAGAGGAGACCAGAGGCCGATGGGACAGATGCTCAAAGCAGTCTTCTAACCTTATCAGTGCAGGTCTCGATGCAGGACTGCCTGGTTAGGTTGGGCTGAGAGGTGGAGACCGGGAAGGTGCCGAAGGTGCTCTTCATCAGCTTAAAGCAGCCGTGGTAGTGAATGTTTTTGACTGGAAGGTGAAAAAACACAGAGGAGGGTGTGACAACGGCTGCCAAGACGGAGCTGAAACAAGAGTGAGATCCCGATTTTCAAAGACATGTAAATCCTAAGTTTCTCCCCAGTAATTATTTTTCTGTACTTGACTGCATTCTGGTACACTGTGTAATATATTCATAACTCTGCTGCTAATCTCCAGAGACAACAAAGCTTCCAATCATGAATATTAATACTGTTTATGATTATGAACTTCTTATATAACAGACTTGCCCTTGCCAACACCAGCAAGGAGGTACATTTTACAGAGCAGAAAACACATTTTATGAGGATAAATAATGCTTATCAGGGCTGCAATGTACGCTGTTTTCAGACTGTCACAACGTGTTTTAACCAGGAATATGTACAAAGAATATGGCCGAGTAATTACAATCCAGGTTTTTTTTTAGGGAAAGAAAGAATCAAAATGGCAAACAGGCTGTGAAGCTCTGACACGGAGTGAGATAAACCACACGCCAATCAAATGTGGCCAATCATGCTTAAGCACACATTTAATCAAAGAGGCATCCGTCTAATCAGCATCTCAAATAAATCTGAACGCAGTCACCATCGCATTTCTGAAATGTAGTACGAGAGAAAACGAAGTGCTTGTCCCGTGTCTTTGGCTGTCTGCTGCCTGACTGTTCATTCTGTCAGTTTTTCAGTCACAAGCATGAATTAACAGCTGGGTGCTGACTATTTTCAGCCTTTGGTTGCTCCCACTGAGCATGCCGGTGCAGTGCTTCCCTGAGCATCAACTGGCTGTTGTTTCAGCTTTGTTTGAGGCTGCATTTACATTGACTCCACTTCCTATAGACAGTTTTACAACAGTTTACCAACACTTTGATACATATGCCTCTTAGATTGCCGCTGACAGCTCACAGACGGCTGTCACAGCTCTTCAGGTACACATCAGGAAGATATAATGACTGTCAGAGCCGTGACGGAGAGACTTGTCACCTGAAAGAAAGCAATGCTCACACATCTCAGGGCTGGTGAACACCTCGCAGATACTGTATGACGGCCCCTGAGGCCTGTGGACACGTCTCCAGAACTATAGCCAACGTGCTGGATGTTATGGAGCAGATGGTGAGGAAGCAGTTAGGGAACGCGGATCAATGAGAGCATCATGGTGGGGAAACTTAGAATTATTGATGAGATTAATTAGATCAGGTAAGATGTGAGTACGCTGAGAGTGCGGGCTTAATAATCTCCAAATCTGTCCACGACCAGGCATGTCGGAAACTGGGATTGCATCCTCAATTCATTATAAGTAGGTCGTGAATCTTAAATAATTTATAAATTGACAGTGTAAAAATCTTGTCTGCACTTCTGGCTTTACAACGGGTCAAAGAGAAGAGGCTCAGACTCTTTGGGCTCTCAAGAGACGAAGGTCTTCACCAAAAATATCCCAAATAAAGCATCAAAGCTCCGAGTTACCAATGCAAGCACTGCATGGTAACACCTCAGACTCACGAGTACTGAGTAAATAAAAAGTGTCTCTATGTTGTGGGTAAAATGAAAATAACAAAAGGAAAAGGAAGAGTCTGAAGGACAGCTTTGACAAAAACGTTAATACAACTTAAGAAAATATACGTCACCCAAGATGAAGAAGAAGAAGAAGAGGAGGCGGTGATGTGGAAAACAGTAAAATATGCATCTGGCTTCCGTGAACACAGTAATATGTGTAATTATACACTCTGAGTGACAGAGGATGCAGTAGAAATAAGAAGTTGATACTTTAATGAATCTGTTTCAGTGCAAGAGCAAGGGAGCTTGATTTGATTCATTAGACAGACTGAAGAAACAGATAGGATCCAGTTTCTGGTGCAGAAAGCGGCAGAAAAGCACCTCATACATAGTTACCATCAGGCGCTGAAAACAAAAGAAGAAGAAGAGGAACAAACAAACATGCAGAGAGGGAGCGTGGTCTTGTGAGAATACTGTGCAGGATTTGGCTCATCGTTGGAAATAACAGCCGTATGCGTCAGAGATGTTTCTATCATGGAATATAACAAAAAAGCCAGAGAGAAAGTCTTATCTTTCTCCTCAACAAACAGGGAGGAAAAACAGATTGATTCACCGGGAGACGCCTGTATTTTGGTGCACCGATAATCCTGAGAGACGGGTTTGTGTGCAGGAGATCTGGAAGTGCTTGATAGAGATCAGCCAGACACAGAGTGCTTTTGATTCTGAGTTAAAGAAAAATGTCTACATGTGTGAAAAAAAACACCAAAAGGGATGGATAAAGAATGGAAAAAAAGCCCTTTACTGAGTGGGCGTCGTGTATCTGGGACTGAATGAGAATGACTGTCCGCCCCTTTCGGTAATAAGACAGAGTTTACTCACATTTTCTGTGACCTGGCAGCTGCTCCTCCACCTTATAAATGGAGAGACGTCCCACGCCGCCACAGGGTGACCCCCGCTCGCCACGGCACACCAGACCGCAGTCCTCCTCCGGGACCTTTGGACTACTGATCCGGTTTCCACAGTGGCACTCGGCTCCATACTCCAGACCCGCAAACTGGTACCCACTAACCACACACACACACACACACACACACACAAAGATTAAGATACAGTTATTAGCTTAGCCGAGGGCACTTAATTTCCTGCACTATCACCCCTCAGGCTAAGCCTTCCTACAGGACACGGGGAAAGATTTCAGACTCATCATTTAAGTCAAACTTCCCAGCTTTAGATTTACTGTTTACCCCTTTGATGTTTGTCGGGGCTTCTCCCTCTGCACTCGTCTGACGACGTAAGCTCTCTCATGGCTGAACTGCCGTCACCTCTGATCTGTACTCTACATATCCAGGCAGCTGTGACTCACCCCACCCCCTCTTCTTTCATCCTGCCTCCTTGGGAAAGACAGAGACCTCATCAAAACTGACCTTTTCATGTATGTCCTTTGAAGCTTCCTCATAAATTGCCTTGACTTTTTACTTTTGCTCATCACAGTAATTGGCCCGCTCAGGTAACGAGCGCGGCGGCTTCCTATAGGGACGGATGGGGGGCGGGCCCCTCGGAGCACTCAGTGGACTTGAGATGTAAGCTCAGACTCTCAAAGTCTGACTGCATCCATCAGTCCTCTGCTGCTCCGTTTCAGTGGGGCTACACTGCTGCCTCGCCAGGACTTAAAAAGGAATAATTCAAGCGGGTCATTCCTGGAGTTTGCTTTGAAATATTCCACCTGTCACTTTGCGTTTCCTTGCAGGTTTGTAGGAGAGCCATAGCAGCGCTGCTTATTCAGCTCACACTGACCCTATTGGTGTTTTTCAAAGCATGGCTGCAGAAAAAGCACATTTCAAGCCGCTGATTTATTCACCAACTGCTATAGTCAGCTCATTAAGCTTTCTACCACATACACACACACACACACACACACATCCCGCTCTCCTTCTTCTGCCACTGATCAAGCCTTCTGTCCTGGCCCACTCTCCGTCCTCCCCTCTCCCACCCGCCTCATCTCTTACTGTCAACCAGCCACCTGGCTCTCCACTGGTTCCAAACACAGAAGCCATTCATGGAGGAGACTGAGATCCAAAGCGTTTACTCACACAGCAAGGCCTCTGTTGTCCCTTCACACAAGACAGCCATGAGCGCATTACCTTTCCGAGCAGGTGTCCTGACAGAGAGAGCTGGTCATTTTGCGCAGGTCATAGAGCACGGTTCCTCCCAGGGCTCGGTCGGTGGCGTTGTGCAGGAAGCATCCCATGTAGGTTCCTGTGTGGGTAAAAAAAAAAAAAAAAACGGCCCGGTCAAAACTCAGCTGGGCAGAAAGGTTCCCTGCCGCGGTTCTCGGAGAGAGCCCCTCAAAAAGCAAAGTCATCGGAGTAAAAGTGAAAGGATCAGCGATGCATGATGAAAGCAACTGACGGCAGCTTGAAGAAGGGCCGCTTTCACCAGCGTGTTAACGGCCGAGCCAGAGCTGCACTTAGTGTCAGTCATAATAGCCAGCTAATTCCTAACGGACTGTTGTCAGACAATTGTAAACATGCACACACTGTCAAAAACATGGGCACCATAAGAGTCCACTCATGTCTCCTTTGGTACTGTCTGCATCTCATGTGACTAATAGCTCGACCCTGAGGCACATATTTGTACTTTTAGAGGCCCTGGAAGATACACTGATGTTCCCAAGTCATAAATGGACAAATCACAAGAGTATAACAGCAGGATCTTTGAAGGTGACACCCAAATGAAAGTCTTGAAGCCCTAAATGTAAAATTAGGTGTGTTTTTTTGCAGAAACCACTTCTATTTGAGCAGAAATTATTCCTGGGGAAATAAAGAAGTGACACAAAACACGGAACAGTAAATTATCACGATGCTGATAAGATCAAGGTGCCACATAAAAAGACCCTCCAAATTCAGTCTTTGATGTTTTCCTTTTCATTACTGGAGTTTCCTCCATTCAGCCGATGCTTAAAAGCCTTTCTCTCTGCTTACCGTTTTCTGTGTGGAATGTAGCATGTGTACTTCTTTTGTCTGCAGACTTCATTTGCATCTTTTCCTCGGGTCTGAGAATAGTGTATTTTTGGGTGATGTGCTAAATGCTTTTATTCATACAGAAAACGACACGGTGAGGGGGCTGACATCTTTTAGTACGTGGAGTGCATGCTGATCGTTCCTCAGCGTTGGCTTTTTTGGTTTAATGTACAATTCCTAGATTAGATTCATAGACTTTCTACAGGTTTCAAGGACACGCAGGATTTGGCTTTCTGTGTGAGGTTTAACCTCGGTGCAGGAGAGACTCATGCCAAACAGCTCAAAAGGGGGATTTTAGAAAGGGTTGGAGGAGATGCACGCCACTGGGACTGAAGAGATGTGGCAGGAAGGTGTGCAGACAGGATGGAAGCGGGCAATGGAGCGTGAAATCTCTGGCAGCCAACCATCACCATATCGAATTCATGATTCAATCAGTCTGCGCTGTCCTCTGAAGCCCATCCAGCCAGTTGCGCCTGGGAGGCTGAGTCACCCGCCGCCTCGGCCCCGGGAGGCTGATGCCGGAGCGCACCAGCAGTTGCTGCTTGAAAGCACTAAGAGGTCGGAGCTGCCAAAGTCAGTGGAAAGAAATGTTCCTCGCAGCATCACCTGAGGTGAGACTCCCCCTCGCCCCCAGCCCGCCAACAGGGTAGGTCATTGCTTTAATCAAAGTGAAGAAGAAGCCCCGGGCAGCTGCGGCGGAGGGTTAATGGAGGGAAGCACCCCGGATTCCCGCACATGATAGAAATGACTGCACTTAGGCCTGACACTGTGTGGCTTTTTTAGAATCTAAGACAGATGGCTGTGCTGGAGCCGATCCTTCCCCGCAGGACTGGATGGAGGAGGCTAATGGCAGGATGGCCAAGTTTGAGGACACGTACCGCTGCCAAGCGCAGCCACTGTGTACGCTCATTAAAGTGGGCACGAGGAAGGTTCACAGTGTTTCTGCTGGGTTTATAATATCCCCAAGACTGAGAGCAGGCATCAAAAAGCCCCGCTGAGAAGGGCTGAATGCACAGAAGGCTGACCAGAGTCGTAGTTTGTGAGGATTATCTCCACAGGATTTGAGTTTGTGATGCTTATGAGCTACTTCTCTAAAATCTGCACATCTCCAGGTGTGAAATATTTGCGAATTTATTTTTACATTTCAAGCAGACACAGAGTGTGCAGTATCTCATTTCTACTCTGAAAGATCTGAATCTGCCAATATCTGGACCGTGTGATATCGTAACTGCAGTGTGCTGCTTTGTCAGATATTAGCCTCCGAACAAAGGCGGGGCAAAAGATCAAATAAAGAAATCTGGTTTGCTTTTCAAGCTTTTGGTTGTCAGCAAGGGAGCCAGACTGATTTTTTCAGGAGGCAGTCAATGAGAGGTGAAGAACTCTGGAACATCAATACAAAGAAGTTAAACCTCAAACCCAAAACAGTTTCAGTCACATACTGGGTTGAATATTTTTCCTGCTGTTGCTTTTACTTTAACATCTTGAGTCTCTTTACAGTTCTGTAGCTGACACTAAAATATTAAGCATATTTGAAGTTGTGTTTAAATATCTACATGGTGTAATCACATCAAAATATATCCACAAGTCAGCCTTATTTAGTTTGTGTTCTGATGATAAAATACATTACTTTCTTGCAACATCACGGCAAAGGAATTCTTACAAAAGTTATTTTTCTTCATTTTATAATCAAAAGAAACCGTGGCCAATTATTTCTGATGAGATTTTTAAGCTCATGAAATAATCAGTACCATCTCAGACATTTGGGCCCTCATCCAGGGACTTCAGCTGTGAGATTTGGATAACGAGACTGTGCTGGATGGATGAGAGCTGTTAAATGACAGCAAAGCTTGGCTGAATGCTTTATAATAGTTCTTACAGTCCACTGTGAATAAGGAAGAAAGTGCTTTTTAAGATGTATAACAACTAGACTGTTGTATTTTTTTTAATCGACTGATCGTTTTTACTTTCGTTGAATTGTTTTTTCATTCATACAATAAATGTATTTTTTTGTTAAAACCAAGGTGACCTCTTCAAAAGACTTTTTGTCAGAGAAAAACACATTGATAATCTGCTGACAACAGCTTCTTATCTAAATATTTGACGAGCTGAACTTTTAGTGATTTTAGTTTTATTGAACACATACCCCTGCTTGCTTTCTTGTTTAAAAAGATTTTAGTGGATCGTTTTAATTCATTTTCTAATGCTAAACATGAAGTGACAGCCATTGACTGGTTAGCTTAGATTGAAAAAATAAAACTTGAACATGTTACAAGCGATTTTTCTACCTAGAAAACAAACCTAAAGAAAGACAAACTACCGCTTTATTAGATGTGATCTACAACTAGACTCTACTTTTCAACAAGAAGCAACAAAGCTTTAAAAAGAGCCATGCTTGCTGTTTCCACCAACTTTCTGTTTATGCTCGGCTAAACTAAAAAGTTGCTTTATGTAGCATCAATGTATTTAGTAAAACACTTTCTATTGCAAATCATATAAACCACTAACACATTTATAGATGCCAATGAAATGTTCGGGAGCTGACTTGATGTTAGATACACTAATTTTTTTTTTTCACTTGCTGATATCAATAAGTCAGTGCTTATTTTTATGATGATACAGAGGTGATAGATTTATTTTGACCTATTTTGGGGTTTGTGAAAGCTTTTTCTGGTTTGTGGAAATGTAGAAAAAGGTAGTTTTACTCCTTTTTTCACATGTTGGGAATCAATATCTGGACATATTTTTTCTGAAGAGGGAAAACTTTGTCTGGTTTGGAAAAATACTTATTTTTCTTCTTTTTTTTACCATCCAGGTCATGGTTGATCGGCTTGAGAAACAAGCAGTAAAAAAGCCTTTTAGGTCATAATAACAAATCAGAAAAAAATATCACAAATTCCAAACAAGGTATCAATGAATCTTTAGCTTTATTACAATAATCATGTCCAAAGTCTAACTATTTTAGCTTTCATACAGGGCCTAAAACTATGTGATCGGCAGGCTGTTGTTTATTTTCACAAAGCAGCAAAAGCTTTTACTAATCCAAAACGAGGTACTAATCAATCTGCAGCCTCTGTAGAATAATCATGTCCAGATTTAAGCTTTCTTACTATTGTTGTTTTCATACATGGCCTCAAGATATTTGATAAGAATGCAAAGCATTAGGCAACTTCAGCATTGTTGTTCTGTTGAGGGTTAGGAATGATACCACAAACAGTGATCATTGAAATTTTCACCAAACCCTTGAACCAGTTACTTCTAGAGCAACTGACACAAAAGACCCGAGTGATTGGATTCTTTGTCCTGACTAATACCTTCAAAAGAGAGCTGTTGCCAAAAAGCTCTTACTAAAGCCGATCTCATTCATGCCTCCAACATTTTTCATCACTGTTACGCTATTAGAGACTGAATGGCCATGTAGCGTCTGTTCAAAAAGAAAAACAGACCGATGAAGAGATCTTATAAGATGCTTTTCAAAAAGTGGAAGAACATTGTTTCATTCTGATGTATTTATCATTTCAACTAAATTGCAAAATCTCTCACAGACACTGTTAAACAATAGAGTGAATCTCCAGGGATATGTCCAAGTACTTAAGTAATGCTGAAGGCTACTTGACAAAGTGCAAATCCAAGCAATGGTGTCATTTCTACCTTCACAGTCACTCTTGTTTTTATATATAAAAGCTACAGTCGCTCCTCCTGAATTCTCCTCCTCTGGGTTTGAGAGGATTGGTGAGCTCTCTGTGTCATCTACAAGATCTGAAGCACTCACACGTTAAATGTCATATAAATGTATAATGAATCTTCGAAATGTTCCAAGGTCATGATTATCTCTTCATAAATGTAGAATGAACCCTGTTATGAGTGCTCCGCGAGCATTGTGAGTCCTGAGCTGGGAGTGCTCCTTGGCTCTTGTATTGCCGCGAGCTAAAAAGTGAACCGCAGAATAGAAGATAGACTTGTATATTTTATTCTTCATTTATTATTGACCGAGAAAATCACGTCTCACCTCACAAGTGATTTTTTTACTTCTTCCTCTCTTCTTTTCTGTGCCACTCTGACGTAGTATCAGAGCTTTTGCATTTTTTAAAATGATTTTTGATTGAATTTCCTTTCGTTTAATGCAAAAAGAGATGCAAAACCTTGGCTTCACACTGACAAAGGCAATGAATAATTGGTAAAAATACAATCGATTTTGCTTCAGATTTAGTTAGAAGGCCACAAAACCCCAGGCCTGGTTTTGGAGGACACAGTAACAGTAGGAGTGTCTGACCTTATAAAAAGTGAAAAACAGAAATCGACTGAACTCATCCAGTTAATTGTTTGCTTTTCCAACAGAATTCAATGGACTTGCTTTTTTATCTGTGGTTTGAAATCCATCACATTATTCACATAATCCTTCGGAGTCTTAAAAACATCTTTTGATAACCATCTTTCACCGTTGTGCCATTAAAGCTGAAGCGGTACAATGATTTCTGTAAGTATAGCAGTGTTGAGAGGCTCAGTTTGTCATCCTTTCGGCTAACTGAAAGGAAGCAGACGTGCTGTTTGGTGGGTCACAACCCAACAGTTTTTGATTAGACAACCACACGTAAGACACGAAGATGTCTGCAGTTACTTACCTTTGTGTCTGCCGGTCCTGTGCACGGGGATCTTTTGTTCTGGACTCTCGGGCAGCAGGTTGTGAAACCAGCGATGGTGCATGTGCTGGACCCCCAGGTTCCGAGAAGCTTGCCAGTGTCGGCCTGCTCTGGCTCCCCCTCCGGACATTGCCTGAATGGCGGCCCACCTGGATCGGGCCCTAACGCCCAGACCCAGCGTCCGGAGGGCGGTGGGAGGCGCGGCCAGAGACCAGAGCGGCGGCAGGCCGGCCAGGGTGGGCTGGGCCACTCTCACGCTGGAGCGCTGCAGGAGCAGGATGCTGCCGGCCATCAGGTAGGCGATGCCCAGACAAAGCAGCAGCATCTGAGCCCTCTTCAGGAGGCAGTGCAGTTTGCAGAAGAGTGCCCCCATGCTCCCGCCGTCTTCCGTCTCTCCTGTCAGTGTAAGTTCTCTTCATGGATCCGAACCGAAAGCAGCTGTAATTTGGCAAAATCTCGCAGCTTCCGGCCGTGGAGCTCGTACCGGTCCATGACTGACACAGTCCAGCTGTGGTATCCCAGGCTGCGGATGGCGTGGACGGTGAGTCCGGGAAGTTTCTTGGAGTAAAACTAAGCAGAAAAGACAAACAAGCAGATGTAGGCAAAGTCACCCATATGTCACTGTACAAGAGCACGTTCAAAAGGAAAGAGTATAAGGCTGGTGGATTAGATGCTCTGCTCGTTCTGCCATATGGGCTCCTGTTTCTCCTGTTTCTCCTGTTTCTCTATCCTCTCACCAGCAATTTGCACCACATCCTCCAGTATCCAAGTCTTCCTTTGTGTATTTCCTACTTACATTTAAAAAAAGCATCCTTTAAGTTGTTCTGCTCTTCCTGTGCCCACTGAACTGAAAACTAAAACCACCACATATTCTATTTTGCATTGCCACGTTTGATGCGTTTTGACCTTAAATGTGCCTCACAGTTTAACTCGTGGTTATCACGGAGTAATAACATCAAGTGATAAAACCTGTCTAAGAGGGCATTATAGGCGCTTATGAAATGAGGATTATGATAGCAGCAGCAGCAGACCCACTCTGGCTTCATCCGAGGAGAGATTGATGAGTGATAAAAAAAAGAAAAACATGCAAAGAGGAGATGTTGAGGCTCTGTGGCGATTAGGATGCAGAGCAGCCATGTGTTGGCACTGTTTTATCGAAGCTGACACTTTGGAGAGAGGAGCAGTGAAGTGAATATCCGATCATATCCATTAATGCCTCGTTGTCTTGGTGGCCCACTCTCTCCGTCATGCCCTTCAAGCTCTACTTTTCCTGACGGGGCTTTCTGGACACACTGCAACACCCCCCCACCGCCACCATTCCCACACAAAAAAATAAATAAAAATAACCGGGGTGCGGTAGTGCTCCCGAGCACAGAAGCAACAGTTTGCACGTTGAACAGTCTCCGATCAAGTCCGGATACCCAAGTTATGGTAAACTCCGCGTTTTTCCCCTAATAAAACGGGCCTGACTCACACACGGACACGCAATCGGCCAAAACACGCGAAACGCAGTGGGATTTGTTCCAGTGGGATGGATGACAGCTAGGACGGAAGACAAACGCGTGTAAACACGCGTCACCTATTTAAGAAAAAAGCCGAGGTCTTCCATCTTAAAAACACCTTACTGTCTCCTCCATTTACAGTAGAGCGGCTGGGGACGTGCGGCTGTACCTTCAGCGCGGCATCCTTCCGATCTCTCTCCAGTTCACGGCCGTCGGGGTGGCTGCTTTCCCCCCGGCTCTGCTGACCACTGACAGTCTGCTCGGCTCTCCAGAATTTCCCGGAGCTGTTGTTATATAAGCCCCCTTCCTCCCCGCGCGGTCCAACTCTCTCACTCTGGACGAGCCGCTCTGAAAGGGCTGCCACGGTGATATAAAGCACTGTCAGCGTGCGCGCGCGTGCGAGTGTGTGTGTGAGTGTGTGAGGAAGAGGAGGTGATGGGGGGGTGGAGGAACAGGAGTAGTCAGGCTCATTTGCATTGGTGATCTGAACGCGTCACAGCGCGTCCGCCGTGCAGAAGGAGGATGGTGTCCGGCAGCGCGCAGCGTGTCCAGGTCCCCACAAAAACAGCCGGTGCCGCAGCTCCGCGTCCAGCCGCGCACTCTGCGCCGCATGTGCACGCAAAGTTCTGTCTGGGTTGCTAAAAAACAGATATCCGCGGTTTTTTGGGGGGAATCTAACGGCTCTAAGGCAAGCCGGAGGAATCGTCTCGATTCCTGCGTGACGCCGAATGTAACGCTGGTTGTTGACCCGTGACTTCAGCACCACGAACAGCTCTCTGTCACAGATCCGGCTCACACACGGCTGAGGTTCGTGGGTGCAAAGAGGAAAAAAAAAAATACAAGCACCGGGGGTCTTTCAGATCAGCAGAGGTGTCTCAGATTCTCAAATCTATAAATCTGTTTGATGGAACAGCATGAGACCCACCAAGTGACTCATCGTTGGTTTTCAGGGACATGTTCTTTCTTTTGCACCTCTCTCTGATAACCAAGACCAATCCCAGAGATGTCCTCCACACACACACACACACACACACACACACACACACAAAAAGGACATGTGTTGCTATACATACATATATATAAGTGATCTTGACACTTTTATTTGAAGAAAAAATGCATCACATCCCTCCAATTTCTTTAGCTGCATTTAAAAAACACAGAGGATAAAAGATAGCACGTTGTTATAGATATGATTTTTTTTCCACCAGCAAGCCAAATCCCTGCTGAAAACTTGTCACATCTCTGTTTTAGTGAGAAGAGAGGCGAGCAAAAGAAGACACACAGACACTACAGCAGATGAGGAGGATCTGAAAGTGCTGAAGAAAGAGGAAAAAAAACCCAGCAAAGCCCTGACACAGGACCTGGGAGGTGTATCAGTCCTGCTCTGTATTTACTCCGCACAAAGCCGTTTCTTTCATCAGCGTGTCAGCTGCTTGGTTTCTTTTGTTCGGTGCGAGATCTTTCTCACTGCTCCCGCCTCGGTTTCAATGTATTTGCAGCAATATTTCCAAAGGCTTCATAAAGAAATGACTAACAGCTTGTCTGAATAGGCTCAGACTTTGTTCAGAAGCAGAGGTGTTCGTGCCAAATGTTGACCTTTATGCTTGTTAGAAAGGCAGAAAAGCTGTCGTCGCCTCATGGGCTGTATTTCCCTCCATCTTTACTCATCTTTTATTTGATCTTAGACTTTTTATGTTTCAACGCATTTTAATTTGACCTTTTTCTTTATTTCTCTAAAACCAAATCAGTGGCTGATTTGAACAGCATTGATATGTTTCACATTACACGGACTAAATGAGCAGACAGAAAAATATGGTAATAATATGGTAATAATAATATGGTAATTTCCTTTTTTACTTTGAGAGCGTGTGGTTCTCTTTTGAGAATGTGATGCCAGTCACTTTTATTCGGCAGTTTGATTGACAGGTCGGAGGAAATATTGAGTCCTGTCACATCGAGAGGCTCTTCACTGCACTGCCATCTCTTTCAATTATTTATTATTTTTTTGCTTGAATTAAACACAAAGTCCTCCTCAAGGCTAAATTTCCTGAATAGCTCAAACTGACAGAATTAGTTCAGTCATTTTTCACAATCGGTTAGGGTTAGCGTTTGATCTTTGCCACAGTGGAAGTCTGAGTGTTTGTGTGTGGTGCTTGTGGTTTGTCTCACACAGGATGGATTGTTGTAATCTATTCTCATGTCACCATCCTTTGAATTTAAAGGTAATTTGATAGCCCCGCGGTAAAAATGTGTTATGTAAATAAAGTGCTGTTGTCTGGCCTGAAAAGCGCCCTGCATTGTGTATTACTGTCTGGGTTTGTTATGTTGCCTTGTGGGAGTCAGCTGTGGAAAACCATTAACTTACTATTGCCCCCAGTTGACAGGTGCTTTGATGAGGTTTGCTGCACATCCGGCACACGAGGAGCTGTACTGCCTCCCCCATTGAGCTTAACGGCACTGTTATTAGTCCAATCTGCATCAATACGGCTCGCTTCTAACTTTGCCTCCCGTGGTTAAACTACAGGGTTGCAACCTTTTGTAAGACGTCCTCTTTGCATGAACGGCCACACAAAAACAAGCCGGCCCGTCCACAGCAGCTCACAGGGGAAGGACACTGGCAACCCTCAGCTGTATGTCTATTTTGTTTCTCCTCTTACTCCCTGATGGCTTTTTTCCGAGAGACTGGACCATCTGTCCCCCCGGTTTCAGTCAATTTAACCTTTTTTCAACCCTTTGGGCCAGCTTGTGCTGGGAGCATCGCAGAGACAGGAGGCCGGAGCTGTCAGCCCGCAGCCTGGACAATAGAGCTCATCTCCCTTCTCTGCCTTTCTGTGCTGAAATGAATCATCTCAGACAAGCCAGAAACACTTGCTGCTGTCGCTGCGCCGCACCATCCCTCAGTCTCTCCTCCGTCCTGTAATTCTTCTCCTGTCTCCTGCAGTAATGCTCTTCTTCCTCCTCAAATGGAGAGTCATGCCACTGTACGTCTCGAATGGAAGAGGCTCTTTATGATCACAGAGTGCCTGTTTTCCCATGCAGCTCCTCGCAGTGCAGCTGGATTTACTGAAATGCCGGCTTTTACGGCTGGAATGAGCAAAATGGCATTTGAGTGCGTGCGCAAAGACTAAACATTCAGAGTTGGATTTGAATTGGCCATTGTTTTGTTTTTTTTAAGTGTAAGTCTCTTCAGGGACTGAACAGGAACAGTGTAACAATCTGTAATGAGCAACGCTGAGCACGTTTACATTTCTATAGTATTTGAATAACATTTGGTCACTTTATTATATGACAGCACAGATATGCTTTAATTATTTTGCATCTCTTCTCATGTATTTTGAAGGACATCTGGGCTGTTTTGATCAACAGTGGTCTTTTTTTATTTAGTCTCCAAACATCAGATATTTTGAATATATTATGAATGTCTCTGACTAAAGCAATAACTGGATCTATGTTTTTTGCAGAAACATGAACCTTTGACCTTGTAAGTTTGTTGCCTGTCATTCATTGAGTGGAATTCATTCCATCACCAATGCCACAGAGAGCCAATCTTTTTATTAAAATGAAACCTCTTCTTTTATGACTCCTTTTTATGTCTACCAAATGGAATTTTTTAGATGTAAACATGACAAAAGTATAAACAGAAAGCCTCCAAAATGTCCTTTTTTTTTACCTCAAAGATTTCCGGAAATATTCATGGCCACTCTTGATAGATAAACAAGTTATCATGGTTTCACACATGGGAAAAAAATATTTCAGACGCCTTTTTTGTGGATTTTCTTCATTCTGACCTCACATAGTTTTGTGACACCTGGAGAGTAAGACTGACCTTCCTCTGTGATTTGCCTAAAGTGATAAATATGGAGTGCCCTTAATGTCTTATTTCCACTATTTAGTGGTTAAAAGCTGATATATTTTAAAACAGCTTTTATTTCTACTGTTAGTTACAAACGCTTCATGAAAAGAGATTTTGAGGCTATTCATGGCTGAGATATTCACATCGGTGTAGGAAATGTTTGACGGTTGTATATGACTGACATGGCTAACGACAACATGTTATGTTATCACTGTAGTTGTTAGAAATATAATCCTCTATGCATGATAGATTTCCTTATGGTGGCTTGTTTTCTGCATCTTTCTGGCAGAATCGCTTGGCTCATAGGGTTAGGGCTTGTTGCTCTTCATTTGATCTACACTCCTAATGAATTTAGTCATTTGTAGGATCACATAAAGTGATAATGATGAAAGTCAATCTCAGCTGAAAATTCTGAGGAAAATACATCTGAAACGATACAGTTTCCGTGGAAACTGGCCTCTCGCTTTTCCAAAGGAGTCATTTGCAAATCACTTAAACTTGTTATATAATTGATAGGAGTTAAAAGACAACACATCACATATAATTTATATCACGCGCTGTTTGCCAAGAGGTAAATGAAAGCCGAACTTCTGAAACAGACGGCCCTCTGGACCAATGAGACCAATGAGCTTGTGTTAAAATAATGGGAAGGGCAAAGTGTGTAGGACTGCAGAAGCTGCCTTATGTCCAAAGTCCCCCCCCCCCCCCAGAGCTCTGAAACATGGAGGTGGAGGTGTAATAGCCTGTGCATGTAAAGCTGTCACAGGGAGCTTATCTTCATCAATAATGCAACTGCTGCTGGTTGCACCGGAGCAAATAATTAACTGTACAGCAACCACTAAAAATACAGCTTGAGCAACAGAAGACGAAAACAAAAGTATTTGCCCGTCAGTCCCCAGTTTTGACCCCAATTGTGGAAATAAACCCAGCAAACAGCAAACTGCAAATGAGACGAGTGACACAGTGATAACACAGCATGATTTTATCAGGTAAAATACATGCAAGTTGCAAACACAAACATTCATTGTTGGCTACTGACTGGAGCTAATCTACGCTAAATGTGATCATGTTTAAAAATCCAAGTTATAAAGTTAAGAAAAATGGTTAAAAGTGTTGCATTTTTGCTAACTGGCAATAAAAGAGAATAGATTATTTCTGTGGTTTAATAAATCTCTGAAATCAGATTAAAAATGTATCATTTTGGGTAAAAAAAACATAAAAAAAATAGACATTGGTCAGACTTAGTTCTGTGACTTCGGTTGCAGACATTTTATCAGAGATTATGGAAGCATGGAGAATGTGTCATCTGAAAGAAGAACCTTTCTATTTCCAACAGGAGTCTGGGCCCAAAGGTGACCTCAGCACAGGCTGCTCTTGCTTTGAAATGTATGAGGGCTCATGCCATTTCAGCTCACCAAAGCTTTCTTGGGATTCACATCTTCACCAGATTCTGTGCTGTCACTTACATCCCCGGGGCTACAGTTCCACTGCTGCCTCTTTTATCCTCAGCTCTGCTGTCAGATACTGTACCGTGGTTAATGCTGACAACAAGAAACTCTCCTCACATGGACACACATTTTGAGGCCTGCTCTGCTGATGTCTGCCGTCCACCTTAATCTT